TTGTAGACAAAGTGACTTAAGAAACTCAGAGTGGAAAGTCTTCAGACTTGAGGGAGACGGGTGTTTAACTTGCATTGCACAGGTTTTCAAATTAGAAAAAGAGGGGACGTGAAAGAGCGGTAGATCTGAAGCCAATTTGACAAACTTAGTGACTGTAACCAATATTTACTTTATCGAGCTTGTCAAATCTAGTTTGCTTTCCTACTTAGTAAGTATAGGAGTAAGGACTAATAACTTGAACACGTCGTATTATTGAAGGGTACATTAGCTCAGACCCGGAAGCCATCGCTTTGAAAATCGACCTGCTCAGTTAATTACAGTTGGCATGGTAGGACTGAACACGATTCTACTGACACTCAAGACTCGCCACAACTGCGCTCGGGTAACTACCACCTCTTCAATGGCGGTGCAAACTAATACCCAAGCGCAATTCATTTAATTGTGAACGTTGAAGCCCCTGTTTCTATTTGTTCCTAAGGACTGTTATAAACTTTTCGACCCAATGTAAATAAATGATGAGATTGTGTCGGAACTGAAATTGAATCTAGTACCGCCTTAGACAAGTTGCGGGTAGGTTGACAAGTCCGGGACAAATTACCGCTAGTTTGCCGGAGGGGTGGGGGGTCGTAATTATAAATCAATTATGTTTGCGTGAAGCACTAAGCCTTTATTAACCAAGTTATTGTCTAATGCAAGTTGAACAGTGCGTAGTTCTCTTAGATTCATGCATGGGTTTAGTTGGAGAGTTGGCCTGGTCCATTAGAACAAATCGTCAATCAAATGATTTCGTAATGCTTCTTTATAATGCATACTGTGATAAAAAGTCTTGAAGCTCATAGCCTTAGTTTACCGAAAATAAAAATTAGTGACCCGTGTTCTCTCCTCTAATCAATGATCCCTTAATAAATCCTTTCAGACATCAGTGAATACAAATATTTAATAAGTATCACTCTGATGACTTTAGAAAAATGTTTAAGTCTCTCTTAACAAATTAATTTTTTGAGGCAAAAGTTTAGGAAGAGATGTTTTAATACGATACACATAGGGAGAAAAAAAGACGAAACCCTTATTAACATAACTCTTTTGCTTTAATATATAATTTAAGAACAATTTTTTTATATTTATTTACTTTATTCTTTATAGAATTTATCAATATATTTATGGACAAACAAATTCGATATTTTAAATTGTTTAATATTTACCAAGAAAAATATATGAAGCTTAGATTAATATCATTCATTATTTTAAAATAAATTTTTAAGATTTTATATCATAATATTCAAATATTTTATTTTTTGTCGGTGGAATTCCTCAATTTTAAAAACTAATTATTTAACATTAGTGTTATAAATTATTGAACTCTTTTTAAACTTTTTTTCAAATTTTATTATAATGCCATTTATTTGTGATTTATTTTTATTTTCATGATTTATTATTTATTTTTTGACTCGATTTTTTGAGCCAATGATTCAAGAAGTACGACGATATAAAATTCATTGTACGATATAAATGAAAAAAAGAATTTGAATCTCCATTCTTGAAATATGACTCTTTATTCCTTTATCTTTCATTTGTCTTTCCCTATGAGTTTCTATTGTATATGAGGTTTTCGTCAGGAGACTTCCAAGATCATTTAACTTCATATTAGATCAAAATTTAAATTGGATAATGACAGCACTGATAAAAGGTTTTATAATTTCTAAATTCAGTAAAATCATCTGATCTCTAGATATTTAACACGGATTTACGGTTATTTTTTTTTTAATGAACTTTTCATTAATACTTAAATGTAACTAATACTCGTTTCTTATTTACTATCGAATGACTTAAAAAATATTTTCACAAACCTATACACAACTAACCAGTCCTCAAAATATTTTGCTGGCTACCAAAATGTTTTGAGGACTGGTTAGTTGTTTAAACAGTTGAACCTATGAAAAAAAAAATCCATTTTCTGTAAGCGTAGTTGTCTGTCTTTAATATGAAGCCATTCATTTGTTTCTTTTTATATTTTTTTTTATTTACCTAAGAACAACTTAATTCTTTTTTTTTTTTTTTTTTGTAGAATGTACTTCCTCAACTAATAATGATTTAAAACACGGAGTATTTACATTTATATCAAAGTGCTATAACCGCAAGCACACCTTAACTATAAATTAAACGGTGTTCAACAATCGATGAGTCGCGAAATGAACTTTGTTATGTCGCGATTGGACGTTAGTGGAATATTTAATTTTTTGGGCCGTCTTTTCCGCGGCAAATTGAAAACATATAACAATTTATTAATAATTTGTTGTGGTTAAAAATAAAAATGGACTGCCCTTTGCACGTACTAGTATATAAAAAAAATTAAGAACCCATAAAGCACCAACCTATGAAGGGTCTTGGATTCAATACTTTGTAAAGAAGTACTGTTTCAAGTCAAACGGTCGTGCAGGTACGTGATTGGATCAAGATCACGCTCAATTGCCAAGTTTCCACCTTAATTAATTATTTATTTAAGAGTATCCATTTTTAAAACTCTAGGTATGCCTCAGAAGGGTCTCCGGTTCCTATGATCAATATATAGCTGCCGTCGCTTGTAGCTGCTGCAGCTGATTGTTGCTTGGAACAATTGTGTGAATAAGTTACTACACTATAATTCATTGGTTTCTTATATATATATAAAACTATATCTTAACCTCTTTCTGTAACAATAATAAAACTGAACTATGATAAACCTAGGCTGGAAAAATGGAAGATGGTTTTTGGATGAAAGGCAACTTCAAAAGATGATTCCTTTGTCGTCACGGGTGATTAACGGATAGTTCCACAAGTGGTTCCGCTGAGTATAGAAAGGGCAGAGAAGCATTGTTGGGGGATGGTGTATAAGGGTTTATGTTCTTTCGGGCGGTGGGGTCCATAGATGCTGACAACATATGTTGTGGAGGTCCAAGAACAAAAGGTGATCCCAGTTGTTTACATTTCACTCCAATGGTTTCTAACTAAAGGCTTCAAGTATTGATGTTCATAAATCATCTTGAAGGAATAAAACGCCATTATTGAATTTTCATTCAAATTGGTAAATTATGAATATTTATATTATTAACATTAAAAACAAAAATTGTTTACATGAATTACATAAAAACTTTATTTTCCTTTCAGATTTAATATATTTTTTTACCACTTCTTTATTCATTAATATTGTATTAATTGTTAATAATAAAGATGCTTGCTTTCTTTAATAATTCCTTACAACTTTTCATTTCAATATATCGCTAGCCACACTGCAAAAGCCTCTAAGGACAATTTCTTTCGAAAATGAGTGTTTGTACGAAGATAGTTCAAAATTCCCTCGTTACTATGAGTGGTGGAGGCAGATCAGAAGATCTAAAATATAAAATTTAATCCGTACAAGCTGCCGGTTCACTCAGGGCATTTCAGCGCAAGTATCCACGGAGACAACATCTGCACTTAAGGGCCCTCAGGTAACAAATGTCTTAAGCCTGGATAAAAATGGTAAGCTGTTTTTGTACAATTCGAATAACCTACCAATCCATTAAAATACAGTACAGTATATTATCAATTATATTGTAATTAATAATTATTTTATAATAATTATATTATATTGCTTATAATTTGAATATTGGCTATTAAGAACTCATGAGAGGTATTTTCCTTGCCATAATTTAAAATTTGGAAAGTTGCCTAAACAATGAGGTTTTGAGCTTTTCTTATTAATCTTGTCCTGACGCATATTCTGATCTCACAAAATTAATTGTACAATGTTTTAATTAACTTTAGACTAGCAAATCGTTATGTAAGAAACTGTAAAAAGTTCGTGTCTGTTGTCATAATTTTTGTTTTTTCATAAGTGATATGTGAGATTTCAATTAGCTTTGTTAATGAACTAAAATCATTTTTTCTAAAAAGAATTAATCTTCCATATAATATATTTAATAATTAAGGTTTAGGGTACTGTCCCGTTTATCAAAACTTGTTTAATATCTCGTTAACAACTTGACAATAATTATTATTTGGACGTCTTTCTGTTATTGTCAAAATATTAAAATTACAAAAGAAATACTGCAGAGCAGACATTTATACATAGCTCCAAACTTGTACTTTGAACTGCCTTACAGAGGTAATTTCAAACATTGCATGCTCCGTTTAGCTTATTTTTTTCTTTGCCTATATTAATGTTAACAAAAAATCGGATTGTACGTGAGGATAACAAAATACACCTATTACGATATATATTACATAATAAGCTGAGTAATGAGCTCCATGTCCATTTTTTATTAAATAATTTAGTAACGTAACTAAAAAACAAATTTTAATGGGTATGAGTTATGGAAAATTGGCTCCCCGAAAAAGTTAAAAAATGTGACAAGTACACCAATACAATATATACAAGTATCACACAATACACTATTACATAATACCATATTTATATTAGACATCAAATGATTAATAGCCATCAATTGTTCCTATTATTTTAGAGAAAAAAAAAATTTTATACTTTCTAAACTCCAAAAGCAGTATTTTAATAGAAAACAATTCTGTAGATGTTGATGTATTGAACACCCACATAATAACACTTAATCGACAATGTAATGTACAAGGATTAAGAGTTACGTAGCCTACTAGATTTCTGCTTAGTAATTCAGGCTCTCTATATATATATACAAATGGTTTAATTAAGAGTAATTTTGGGTTCGAAAGTTTTCACAGTACTATTAGGATCGCTAGTATTTTGATTATTAAAGTTGAATTAGATAGGAAATTTAAATTAATTAAAAAAAAACTTCATGAGATTCACAAATTTTGATTTAAAGAAGAATGTGGCATATAGAATACAGATTATTTGTCGGTTATGATTAGTTTTGTTATATTAAAGTTACATCGTTATCTTTCCGCCATATTGGCGAAGTTATTCCATTTTAAAAATAGGGGGAAGGGCTTAAAAAATTTGTTTGATTTCGGGATAGTTGACCCTTTTGAAAGGAGAGCTTATTCTCATGAGAACGAAGGAGGGAGTTACAACAGCGGTAATCCGAGTCGATTACATCGATCCAATTTCAGTTGCCCTCTTAAAGGCTCTCCAAGAGTCTGCTAATCTCCTCTACCCTCTGGAGCAGAGGGGGGGGGAGGGGGAGGCGGTACTGGAAGGCCACTCCAGGTTACCTCGCCGCTTTTGTCATGGAAAGGAAGGGTACAGCTCAAGTCAAATATTAATTGAACGGAGATTTCTACACTAAAGTCGATTATCCATCAATATTAGGAATCGTTCGATGGTCATATTATAACTTGATGAAAACAAAAGGTATGATATTTGTTTTTCAACGAAATATTTGTATTATTATTTCTTTAATATAAAATACAATTAATACTCAAAATTTTGTCCATTGTTATCTTCCGTCATAAAGATTTGCTAGTTCATTGGTCGATCCCACGCTGATACCATTCTTTGGGATGACTGTCAAAGAACTCCTTGACCGCAATACAATTTCCGCATAAATATCCTTATTTTTTCCTTTGAAGGAAATGGGCCATGGATCTAAATAAGCAGTGATCCGATAGTAGCGAGGTCTGTACTATACGGTGGATGAGGCAGGAGTTCGAACCCAAGAAGTTCTTTAAACTTTTCTTTGGTTCGACGGGAAGTGTAAGGGCGAGCATTATCTTGTTGGAATGAAGTTCCTTTTCGGTTCAAAGGAAGATAACGATCTGACAACTTCGCGTACAATCTTTCCAGTTGTTCAGCTGCAGAACATCCATCAGGAACAAATTCTTGATGAATAACAACTTCAAAATTCCAACAAACGCTAATCATGGATTTGATAAATACATCCGAATATTTATTATTTTTTTTTTTAAACTATGATTTAATTTTCCTGTTTCATGTAACTAAATTGTAAGAATTTAAAACATTAATGTAGGAAATAAAGAATAAGTAAATTAGACAAAGTACCTGTATTATCTCGTTAACCGCATTCGATATGATCTTATAACGATTGTAAATAATTGAAAAAATAATTCTTATGTTTTGGGAAAGTAACTAAATCAGCGATAAATTTAATAATCTGATAATTAAAAAAATGGACGTCATTTGTACCTACTCCACAACTTCGATTTCCGTGATAGTTTTAAAGATCCCTATATATATATATATTTTTTAATAATATGAAAAAAGTAAGCATTATTTGATTAAAATTTACAGTGCAAAAATACAAAAGCTAGAAAAATTGGACTGAAGATGATTTCTATCAGTCCTTTGCAAAAGTTGCATTTTTTAGTTTTCCTTTTAATCGTGCCTGATCACAATAGTTCTTTATTTTTATTATTTTTATTTATAATAACTTTATTTCAAATGTTTTCTCAATTTCCAGATTATCTTATAATTAGAATTCTTATGAACATTGGGCGCTTTTTTGAACTCCTCTGAAATTTGACGCTTACCTATATTATAATCATTACCAATAGGTTAAATAATTAAATTATAAGTTATCCTCAACAAATAGATATCCTTTGGTTATGATTAAACTGTAAATTGTTTGAAAGTGTTAAGTACATACATCGGTAAGCGCAGTTATATGCTTTTCTATTTATTTTAAATAAAATATTTATTTTATTATTTTATGTAATTTCTTCGAAAATCCAGTTGTGGGTTACAAAAGTTTAAAGAATCACAAAATTTATAATGTAGCCAATCCTGGTAAAGGCTTAAGAGGCGGTTTTCTAAAACGAACGTCAGGTCTCAGATTGCTCTGAGGCTGGGTGAGATTTGAAGCCTTAAAGGTTCCTTGCCCATATCAAATTTCCTTTGAGTCAAAGGGGAAAAGTATTAAAATAATTGCGAAGAAAAGAGGCCGCTGGCGTGGAATATAAAAAAGAAAAGAAAAAAAAGATTCATTAAGATGGACGTATCAGTTACCTTGTCAAGGAGTACAGGACTTACCCTGATATTAAGTTACCAAGGATATAATGCAATTCTTGCATAAAATTATAGATCGGCTAAACACGGAAGATATAAAAAATCAACAATTCAACAAGTAATCGTTAATTTAAGATATTATTAATTGTGTCCTTGTAATCAAAGTATACTAACTGTTATTTTTACGATTAGTAGGATATTAACTCATTTATTTTGAACATTTATTTTTATATGAGTTTTATGAACATTTACTTCAAAGCACGTTTCATATTTCAATAAATGAGAAAATTTCGTCCGTTTCATTCGTGAATTCAATGTTAAAATGAATCGCTTTTGTGTAGAAGAGCGATATTTTGATATTAATAACCTCATAATTGCCAAAAAGCGACGACTTAATTTTAAGTTTACTCATACGTTTTAAGTTTACAGTTCGCTGACGACACTGCTATTCTATCTTCACACAAAAATCCTACTATCGCATCAATTGCCCTACAAAACTATCTTCATGATCTTGAAAAGTGGTTTGAAAACTGGAGAATCAAAATTAATAGTACAAAATCCACCCAAATTATTTTCTCTCTTAGGAAAGCCTCATGTCCACCCATAACGATTGCCAATAATCCAGTGCCTTCAAAGAACTATGTACGGTATCTTGGACTCCACTTAGACAAAAGGCTTACTTGGAACATACATTCGAAATTAAAAAGACAAGAACTTACTAGACGATATAGCCAACTTTCACATCTTCTGGACTACAGATCTTCACTTAACTTACGAAACAAGCGACTTATCTACAACACCTTACTGAGACCAATATGGACATATGGAGCAGAACTTTGGGGTTCAGCAAAACAAACACACATAAACAAAATACAAACAGCACAATAAAAAATTATACAAAAAATTGTTAACGCACCTTGGTACATTTCAAACACTACTATACATAACGACTTAAACACCCCAACAGTAAAATCCTACATCCACGACAAATACACTACATTTCATTCTTCAACCCAAAATCACTCCAATCCTCTGGTTCTTTCTATCTCCTGCTCCCTGTTACCTGAGCAACAAAGATTAAGAAGAAAATGGCCAAGAGACCTACTACATCAATAAAAAAAATCAAGCAATTACACCAAGACAATAAAAATACAACAAATTTGCTAGATGCGCAGCTGCAAATTGCATAAAATAAAATAAATAAATAAAAGTTTACTCATGATGATGATTCAATCATATACAATATATATACATAAATCATATACAATCAATCATATATATATAAAGAAGAGAAAAATATATATGTATGATTATATATATATATATATATAAAGAATATATATATATACATCACGTATATCAAATTAAAAAGGAGCAGGATAAGAGACGACCTTATCTGAAAAATTAAATCAACCCCAAAAACAGGTGGTATTGGTTTCTATCCTTCTTCAAACCTGCAACATCCCAACCAAACATATTGCACATTTGTTGTCATACATATATTTTGGACGATAGCTAGAGGTTGTAAATCTGTATGTATTTTTGGTTTTGTTTATTTTAACATGAAGCTGCTGTGTCAGTTTTTAATTTTTGAATTAAAAATATTGATTTTATCATGTTAATAATACAAATACAAAGTTTATGTTTAAAAAAAAAATAGTTAGACGTTTTATTTCGAAAATATATTGCCTAATAAAATTTGTTTCATGATTATAATTTTATTTTTCCTTTTATGTGATAAACTAATACGAATACGTGAGAAAATATCGATGGGGTGTTTAGACTGAAAAATTTTGTCGGTTAGGACACCGAGGAGTTTGTTTATTCGTAACAAAAAAAAAAAAAAAAAAAACTTTTCCAATAAGTTCAATCTTGTGCAGCCCTCGTTCCCACTTAGGAAGGGCATAGAAAACTATCTTCATATCGCACAGTAAGCATTTACGGGTCGTAACGCTCTGAAAGAAATTGAGTATTCAAGCTATTGCTTTGTGAAAGACTATTTGGAGTTAAATAATAAAAATGCATTTTATTTTGACGAAAATATATTTAGAAGAAACCTTTTAAATATTTCCCTCTACTTACGAGAGACCCTGTACGTGCGCATACATTTTTTTTTTATTTCTTTTTGTTTATTTCTTGGACTGTTCTCTTGTATTGTATGGGAAATGATCCCGAGGACTACTATCACAAAAGAATTCGATACCCTTAAGACAGTAAGTGGATTGGGTGAAAATTGTCCGTTCTCCTATCTATCCAACTTAATTCCCTAATACAATATATGACGACATAAAATTGCTATTTAGTACAATTAAAGCCTCGTTGGAAATAAAGTTTACGAGAGTACTCGAGGCGGGTTATAAGATTTGGAGGAAGTGGCCTAGAAGGACTCGGTGGATACATGGCGAGATAAAGCGACATTTGCCGGGCAGAAGTTTTATCACCTCGGTTGAGGGTCTCTTTGCCCGCTCCTTAATGTCTCTAGGCCCTTTTCTACTAACCCTTCTCTCTTATTTCATCCCAAATATCCCCTTTCTCGCTTTTATTTATTTTATTTTATTCTCCCTATATCCTGCAGGTTCGATACGATGCGCCTTGTCTAGACAGTTTGTAAAACACTCAACCGGGTAGTTTATGAGAAAAAAAAGAAGGGTCTGAAGAATTCCTCTTTGAAAATTAAGCAAGCTATTTTAATGTTTTTTTTCTATGGAGTATTGGATAATGAATATCATGAAGTAATGATGATGATGAATTACAGTTAGTATATAATTACGCATATAACTCACTCCAACTTTTCATATACCATCCAAAATGTATGTGGACAACTCAATTTTTTTTTGTTATGTGGTTAATAAAATAAGAAAATAATTCATGACAGATCACAACAGATATATAACATTTACGCTTCGACGAGACACATGACCACCTGGTTATATCGGCGATAATGAAATCCTTCAGCCCGAAAGCTTTTTTTTCATAAAAATAACGATAATTACTTTGGAAAAATGAAAAGAAACTAACTAGCTGGTGTTTAAAATGGTGTTTAAGTGATTCCTAAAGCACTTTTAAATGTAATTACACGAACAATAATACTTTGAGGGGTAAAAATATTTTAAATATTTTCTTCGATGAAACATGGTTATATTTTCCCATTTTGGGAGGGCTACAGCCCGAAAGCCTTCTTCCCCCCCCCCTCCGTAGATCCGCCCGTGCTCAGACGGACACTGTGCGTTATCTCGGGATAATATCCGACGGAAGGATGACCTGGAGCCCACATGTTAAAATGACACGAAAGACTTTGAATAAGCGACTGAAAATACTATACTC